TTCTTTCATAAATATGGAAGGTGTTGATTGTAACACTCCACTTCCCAAAACAACTAAAATATAAACATTATAATTAAACATCAGAGTTTTCATCATTTACAGTGGGATATCACATCACCAATAAGTCATCAAAATACTTTATTGATTATTTTCAAAATAATACAGCGGAAATTGTCATTTCAACAGTCTTGGCCATCTGCCAGATTTCATAAAATCTCTATTATTATAATTCACCAAAATGTGATACGTCAAAGGATTACAACAAGTTTGACGTATAACAATTAAAACACCCATATCCCGTGTTACGTATCAGAGCACCCTAAGACTCGACCTGTACACCGCTATCCAAGCTATCTATGTACCTGGATTATCTGTACTTCCGAGGAAGCACAAACCACAACAACAACAACAAAGGGGTGAGAATCACGATCAAACAATAATGGTATAATAGTACATGAAATAAAAGGAAGAATCTATATAAATCATTTCACATGCATATCAATCGGGCTAACTGTCCCACCATTAATCACAACATACAATCACGCAACATGTGCGCACACACACACCCTGAAACATACGGTATCGACTCATTCGTCCGTCAGATTCTCCTATGAATCACTCCTCTCACCCCTATGCGGTTACACTATAACTCATCAGATCCTCCGAGGAATCAAATATAACCATCGCATCAAGCGAGGTTCTGCAAATCCTCCAAGGGATCAATTATAACCATCGCTCACACCCCACAAGGGCACATGAGGTTCTGCAGATCCTACAAGGGATCAAATATAACCATCGCTCACACCCCACATGGGCACACGAGGTTCTGCAGATCCTCTAAGGGATCAAATATAACCATCACATCAAGCGAGGTTCTGCAAATCCTCCAAGGGATCAATTATAACCATCGCATCAAGCGAGGTTCTGCAGATCCTACACGGGATCAAATATAACCATCGCATCAAGCGAGGTTATGCAGATCCTACACGGGATCAAATATAACCATCGCATCAAGCAAGGTTCTGCAGATCCTACACGGGATCAAATATAACCATCGCATCAAGCGAGGTTCTGCAGATCCTACACGGGATCAAATATAACCATCGCATCAAGCGAGGTTCTGCAGATCCTACACGGGATCAAATATAACCATCGCATCAAGCGAGGTTCTGTAGATCCTACACGGGATCAAATATAACCATCGCATCAAGCGAGGTTCTGCAGATCCTCCAAGGGATCAATTATAACTATCGCATCAAGCGAGGTTCTGCAGATCCTACACGGGATCAAATATAACCATCGCATCAAGCGAGGTTCTGCAGATCCTACACAGGATCAAATATAACCATCGCATCAAGCGAGGTTCTGCAGATCCTACACGGGATCAAATATAACCATCGCATCAAGCGAGGTTCTGCAGATCCTACATGGGATCAAATATAACCATCACATCAAGCGAGGTTCTGCAGATCCTATACGGGATCAAATATCACAAATGCATACATATTCGTAATTACATTACTATGCGTATTCACCTCACATAGGTACCTACAATCTATGAGCTCTCATGCTAATCTATCATGCATTTCCATTCAATTCGGACAAACGCTTAAAATTGCCAAACGACCACTAATTCCCGATAAAAATCGATTTCTAGGATTCACGCCATTCGGCTACCCACAGCACATCACAAACCAGCACACCAACTTTTAAATTAGAGAAGGGTCGATCGCAACCGGAACCCCAAGACACAACAACACACAATCAGCAGAGAAAATTCACTCTGCTACGTTCGCTACACGCTCGCCTAGCGAGCTGCTAGCGAGCGTTCGCTACCTCCTCGCCTAACGAACTGCTAGCGAGCACAAACAGAAGCTACAGACCTTGTTCGCTACCTCGTTCGCCATAGCGAACCCCCAGTAAGCTCTTCGCTACTCCCTTCGCGGCTAGCGAAGGAGACCACCACTGTCCCAAGTCTGGGACCGTTCGCTATACGCTCGCCTAGCGAGCTGCTAGCGAACATTCGCTGCGTGCTCGCCTAGCGAACTGCTAGCGAGTCGCCTGCGAACAACAATATTCAGTTCTGCTCCAACTCTTCCAAACTCACCGAAATCACCCGATTAAATCCAATGTTATTCCAATAGCCTTAGCCTAACATATAACAACTAATATACGGTATCTAAACACGATTCTAACCGTTAAATAACGATTTCTATCGATTAATCCAACTTCGACCTAAAAATGGAAAGTATGGAAACTACCAAACGATTCCAATCTAGCACATATATGACCTTATACATTATTAAGATGATAAACATTCTCACCCTTTCCTGATTAATTGCAAGCTTTGGTTGATCTTGATGATTTTCGAAGTTTCCTCTTCTTTCTCCTCTTTTTCTCTTCTCCTTCTTTCTTTCTCTTTTCTTTCCTCCCTTTCTTACTATCTCCCTCTTTCTCTTCTATTTTCCTCTTTTATATCTTTTCCATTATTTTTCCAAAACATCTACTAATTTAATATCTCATAAAATATCCCACTTATCATTAAATAGGAAATGTCTAAAATACCCTCCAAAACTATTCTCTCCGAAAACTCCCAAACTCGGTTAAAATAGGATAATATGTAAACATAACATATTTCCATGCAAATTCCGCCTCAAAATAATTATTCTCCCAATTAAACCAAAAGGACTCAACGAAAAAGGAATAATCGAAATCGGGGCGTTACATTGATCACTTCCATTCCTCCCTATGATGTAAGGTCCCCTTGTAAAGACCTCATCCCTCCTTTGGTAGGATGTGTGGCTCTTCATAAGTTGGTAGAACCTTTGAGGGTCCCTTTCTTTGATGATGGAGTGCTTAGTGGTGACCTTTGGTCTTCACTCTGCTGTCTATTATCCAAACCTTTCTCTTGTCAGATGAATCTTTCTCCCATGCTAGAAGATGGAGTTCCTTGTTAGAAGATTGAAGATGCTAGAGGTTGCACTTTCCCTGTGTCTGAGGACTGCCTTTGGAGCTGAAGCTTGAAGATCAACAAGAACCAGTTGATACTTGTGTGAAGAGGATTCAAATTCAAATGAAGAGCTGAATCCTGAAGAAGGTGAAGAACAAGTTGATACTTGTGTGGGAGGCATTGAAAGCCTTGAAGAACAGTTGAAGACTGAGGACTGAGCTGATGTCAGAGGAGCTTTGCTGTGAAGCTGTGGAAGCTGTGGAAGCTGTTGATCTGCTTTCTTTCCTGTCTGTTTGCTTTCTGTGCAACTGTATTGATGTGACTTGTTTGATTTGCTTGATGCATTAGAATAAGTTCATATTTAGATTGTGTTAAGCTAGGAGCATGATCGCACTAGAGGTTGAGTTGTTCCCTCTGCTTGTATTTTTACTGTATGGCTTTGCTTGCGGGTATTCGGTAGAGCCCAGCTCCCTTGCCTATGTGGTTTATATTTGCTTGATGGCATTTTACTTCTTCTGTACGATTGTAGTTATTGTGTTTGCTTGATAGCATGTTATTTCTTCTGTATGATTACAGTTATTCGTATCTGGCTTGAGGTCGAGACGAGCTTGTGAAGGTTGATGCCCCACACACATTTCGTCCCTCACTTGCATTGCATGCATTTTACAGTCGTTTACTGTATATCTATTTACTGTTTAAGCTGATGCTTCATATGTTTATGGTCATTATTGACATGATCCCCTAGGAATCTCACTTCTTTTGATAAGGAAGTGATGATAGAGCTTTAGGTTGAAACCATGCATGATAACTTCTAGGAGTTCCCTGTTTCAAACCTCAACCATAGGATGAATCCTTGGCATGACAACTGTTAGGACTTGATAGTCTCCCCTTAGTTGAACCTGGTTGTTCTCTCTTCTCATCTCAAAACAAATTAAAATACAGTAATAAAGGTTAACTGACGTCGTAAGTTACGAGCCTTAAGCTATCTGAGAAAGGATTGTTGGAGAGTTTCATTTCAACAGTCTGGATGTTTAGTATGGCACCCTTTAGGTGACATGCGACGCATTCACTCTCAGGTCATAGTCTCTAGTGCGATATTAGTTGCAAACATCCATAAAAAATAGTTCTTTCGTAAAAGACAGAAAACAAACTTCAAACCTTTTTGCCTCGTGGGCCCATAATTCAAAGGAAGCTTTTCTGAAGAAAAGAGTGTTGTTAACTCCCAGTTCTACCGCAAACGGTAACGCCTAAGTCTCCAAGGGTCGAGCTGCGTACATCCAACTGCTGGAACTGTTTGTTAACCCTACTCGGAAAAACAGATGAATTTGAATCCCCGTAATCCGTATTATCCCGAACTACGTAAGCTCTGATCTCTCATACCTGTTGAGAGTACATAGGCACAATGCTGATGTATTGGCGAGCAACCTTCTCCGTAACCCGTAGTTAGGCAAACTACGTTGACTCTGATTTCTCATTCTCTGATGGGAATACGTAGGCATAAAGTGCGACGCTTTGCCGAGTCATTTTCTTTTCTTTTTAGACCAGCCTTGATAGGTAGATAGATACAACCAACCTGTCAGATAAACACAACAAGCGTGGATCCCATCGAGTACGATGGACGTGAGGGGTGTTAATACCTTCCCCTTGCGTAACTGACTCCCGAACCCAGACAACGGTTGCGACGACCTTGTCTTATACCCTTTCGTCAGGTTTTTCCGATCGTTTCCTTTCCCGTTTTGAGGGATAAATAACGAAAGGTGGCGACTCTTCTGTTTTGCCGGCACCTTATTTTCGCGGTAGCGACACTCATAATGACACAATTACTGAGTTGAATCAAGTTAATAGAATTAAAACAGGTTCTGAAAATGAGTTTTTGTATAACCCTCAAGGCTCTCATGGTTTTTATCTCACTAAAAATCAAAGTGAGGGAGAGATTTCTAGTATCAAGGGCCCGATTGGTGCATAGCTTACAGAAGAGGAAGAAAAAGTGATTGGTAATGTTGGATGGAAGCTATTCTGGGATTATATTAATTATTCGAAAGGGAAATTCATGATGTGTTTGATCCTTTTAGGACAATCTATTTTTTTGGCTTTGCAAGTTGCATCAACCTTTTGGCTTGCTATAGCCATTGAAATTCCAAAAGTAACAAACGCCGATTTGATCGGAGTTTATGCACTAATTTCTCTTTCTAGTGTTGTTTTTGTCTATGTAAGGTCTTACATGACTGCACTTCTTAGATTAAAAGCTTCTACTGCTTTCTTCACAAGCTTCACTGTAGTTATCTTCAATGCTCAAAAGTTGTTCTTTGATTCAACTCATGTAGGAAGGATTTTAACTAGAGTGAGATTTTTTTACTACCGATACGCAAAAAAAAAAAGTATATTTATTTCCTTCTGTTCATTTATTACTATATTTAGGCCACTCTTTTTTCCTCTGCAGGCTTCATCAGATTTGAGTATTTTGGACTTTGACTTACCTTATTCCATCACCTATGTAGCATCTATGACAATTGAAATTTTGGTGATAATTTGTATAATGGTTTCAGTCACATGGCAAGTTCTCATTGTTGTTGTTCCTGCAATGGTTGCGTCAATATACATTCAGGTTTATCCAACTTCTACTTTTTCTTGATTCCTTCTATGTCTAAGGTTGGATCATTGAGCTGAAAACTTCTTAATATTCTTTTCTTTCCTAAAAGCTATATTATTAATCTAGATGATTACCAATTTGTTATGGTTGATTGGCACAACTTTTTTGATGAAACAAAAGCCTGCCATGGTGTTGATATGAGCACTTTGGCAAAGCCTTCTAAAGAGGAGCATAGGAAATACTATGTACAGGTAAGTTTTAAACTTAGTACACTTTAAGTGTATTTGTTATGTTTCAATTAAGTTAAATGAAATTTTGGTTATGGTTGGAGTTCTTGGCTCTATATCATATGCTGACTTGTAGAGACACAGGCTTGACATGCTCTACAGGGCTTAACAATTCAAATCATCATGGGCGAATAGTAGGTGTAGATGATTTGTGTCAGCGTGGTTGGTGTCGTATGAGTAGAGCTTTGAACAAGAGTCAAACCCCTTATTAGAAGTGTTATATGTTTTGATAAATTATTTATGATCTTGATATATTGATTGAAGGAGAACAGGACATGACATAATTGTCATTATTGGAAAACATGGTGCGCATATATAGATTATACAATTGGAAAGCAGGCATAATTTTGTTGACTTTTACAATTTGACTTTAGCCTCGGTTAGGCCAAAGCTAAATATTTTATGGACTTATAAAGTTTGAACTTAGCCTCAAAAAAGTCGAGGCAAAATGTTCCTTTAGCCTCGACCAAGATCGAGGCTAAATATTATGTGAGCTTATGGAGTTTGACTTTAGCCTCGGTCAGGCCCAGGCTATTTTTTGTTTTTTGACACGGCTTCACCGAGGCTAAAGTAGACACGGCTAAACCGAGGCTAAATTAGACACGGCTAGACCGAGGCTACTGTAGACATGGCTCTTCTTGGCCGAGGCGAAATGTTAGCTTCAATCATTTTAACCTATCCCCGACACCGACGCTACGCCGAGGCTAATTGGCTAGTAGCGGCAGCTTTTTGCCATATAGTGTCGAAAAATGGACGAGGCTAAATACATCATTTCTAGTAGTGCCTAGGGGTTTGATTTCATTGAAGATCACAAAATTCAAGTTCATCTGATACAAAAGTCAGCCCCTGATCAAAGTCAAGTTTAACTTTTGACTTTCTTGGTCAAACATGGTTTCCATAAGTCAAGAGTAATTATAATATGTGGTTGGGATCATTATTGGTCAAGGTAAACTACAAAAGTGAGGTTACTTGTAAAAAGGGCTACATTGGAGAAATTGAATTTTTTCTAAGTTATAAAATTCAATGATTTTTACCCTACTTTACAAGGTCATAACTTCCAATCCAAGTAACCATTTCCTTTGATCAAAAGATCAAATTGAAGAGTTTGTTACATACTACAACTTTGTCCTTGGGGTTGAAATGAAGGTAGGAAAAACACTTAGAATGGGGGGGGGGGGGGGGTTGAATAAGGGTTTTTAAAACGACTTAGATGATAGAAAAAATAACACAATATTTTTATCCTGGTTCGTTTGAGCTCAAAATAATCCAGTCCACCCTACCTAGGTGATTTTCCTTTCTCAGCAAGGACTTAATCCACTATATCAAACTTGATTATAGTGTAAACCACTAAGACAACTGTCTTAGTCTTCTCAAGAAATTTTGACCACAACTTGGTCTTCTTAAGGAAATATTTTACAAAGATAAACTAACAATTTGTGTTAAAGAAGTGCTTCTAAAAAGCAATATCGCAACAGTGATTTTTACACAAGTATTTAGAACGAAATAAAACTATTCAGCTTTCGAAGAGACTTTATATGTGAGCTTGTTGAATAACTTTTCAAGAATTTATTTCAAGTTCGTTAACCATTGAAGTGATGCTGAGACTTGCTTTTATAGTCCTTTGAATTCCTTTTCACAAAGACTGTGCAATCTGTGCATTCTGTTCTTTTTGTCTTCTACTGACTTTTCCTTTCTTAGAAGGGGAATGTTTAGAAAAATCCTTTTTGTCTGAAATCCTATGTCAAGCATAAATAAGGAAATAGCCGTTTAGGATAAAGCCAAAGAATATGCAAACAGATCTTTATTTGAACAACATCTTCTTCAACAACTTTGGAACGCCTTGCATCAGAACTTCTGATGATGTTCTTAGTTGTTCAGGTCAGAGTTAACTCACTCAAAGTTTCTCTATCAGAGTTGCAGCCAAGTGATTTAAGCGTGAGATTCTTATCAGAGCATACTTACTTATCAGAACTTTTGTACTTGCAGCGTTGAGTACTTCCAGAGTCTTCTGAAGCTTTACGTATGTTCTTCACTCAAGTTCTTCTTAGCTTCGCTCAGAGTCATTGTAGCAGATCAGAGTCTTCTAATGAATTGCTTCTAACGCTCAGAGCTTTCTCGTTCTTTAATGTTAAGAGGCGTTCTTGCTTCCAGAATAATGTTAATTTTGATATCTGAAACAAATAAACACTTGAACAAAATTAGAGTTTCTATGTTTAAGATTTATATACTCTAAAATTTGCTTAAGAGTTTCTACTGCAGATAGTAAAGAAATTAACACTCCAGAAGCAAATCAGAATTGAACACAAGAAACTAGCTAGACTCTGAAGCCCCAGATGCACTCATTAGAAGATTCTGATTGCTGCCAACAGAAGATTCTGAGCGTAGCCTCCAGAAGATTCTGAAGCAGAAGCTCCAAAACGATCTGAAGCAAGTCAGAAGCATCTGAAGCAAAGAAGAATTTTGTATGAAGAGTTTTTCAAAGCATAGTTTCTACAAAAGATTTTGAAAGTACTAAAGCTGCCAGTACTGAAGTTCTGTCTCAAATATGCTCTGAACTTTAACACGCTGAAAGCACACCTGCTGCAGAAGACTCTGATTCAGCAAGACTCTGATCATCATTAGAAGACTCTGACCCAATTAGACTCCAATGAATTTGCTGAAAACTGAAGAAGAAATATTCAAAGATTATATCCGTTGGAGTAAATCAAACGTCTCTTTCCTTATTTATGCTAGACACAAGAACACAGACAAAAAGGATTTTTCTGTGCTTTCTTCTTCTAGGAAAGGTCACTTGATGTGAAGACAAAAAGGCTCAGACCTTTTGGACACTCTTCTCAACGTACAACTCACTTTGGATCAGCTTCCTATAAAAGCAAGACTCCACCAAATTCTTCAGTTGACGTTGGCATTGAAAAGAAATAAAACATTCAAGCTCTCATACTTTCATATTCATTCTAAGAATTTATTTCATTGTACTTAAACTTAAGAGAAATATCACAGTTGTGATAAAAGCTTTTTAGAAGCATTCTTACTCTTGTATTAGTTTTACATTGATTGTAAAAGATTTCCTTAAGAGGATCCAGTTGGGATCAGTAGCTCTTGAGAAAACTAAGAACAGTTGTTCTTAGGTGTTACTATTGTAATCTGTTTGATTAAATAGTGGATTAAGTCCTTGATTGAGAAAGGCAAATCACTCTAGGAAGGGTGGACTGGAGTAGTTGAGTTCAACGAACCAGGATAAAAATACTTGTGTTTTTAATTCTAAGTTTTAATCTTTCATACTTATTCAACCCCCCTTCTAAGTATTATCTCACCTTCAATAAGTTCTCTATACAAAGTTTCATTTATGTTATCATCAAAACTATGAGATATATTAAACACCAATATGTGTTCTAACAATCTCCCCCTTTTTGATGATGACAAAAACTATGGAAAAGTTTGTTTAAATAGAAAAGAAATATCACCCCCCTGAGAATATTAATCTCGCCCTGAAGTGAATACTTCTGAAAAGATTAAACACTTCCCTTTCAGCTTCTGTATTCTTTTCAGCTTCAGAGGAAACTTGTAGATTCTCAGACTTTTAGTTCATAGTTAATTCTTAGGATTTATCATATGAGAATTATTAGCTCTGAAACACTCAAAAAATGATTATATGAAAATTATCATGTATGAGTTGCCTTTGGTAACTACTTATGTGAATTATCAAAATTACCATTTTCTCCCCCTTTTTGTCATATCAAAAAGAATCTTTAAGAAAAACTTTAAGACAGAAAAAAATAACAGAGGAAAAACAATAAGGCATAAGATAAATTCATTCAGAAAAACATAACATTCAGAAATAATATTAAGATTATCCAGAAACAATATCCAAGGCAAAAGCAAATAGATAGATAACACAAGTGCACAAGCAACATAAAAAGACTAAGAAGGACGAGAAGCCATCATCCTCAGAAGATTGGTTATCTCAGATGTGGATTCGTCTTGTTTTGCCATCCATGTCTTGATTTCATCAGTTGTTTGTTCTTGCTTAACCATCCAAGATTTGATTTCAGAGTTACTGGCCTTGAGTTCAGCAATCTGAGCCTGCAGATCTTCGTCTTCTTTCTTCACGTCAGATGATTTTGGAGAAGATGCAGAAGCAGAGGCATCATGAACGACCAAAGATGCATAAGCATTCTGAACGACCATGTTAGTAGGTTGAGCAGAGTCAAGAGTCTCAGAAACAAGAGCAGAAACTTCTGGAGCTACTATTTCAGGGCTAACCACTTTTGCAGTCTCAGAAGCAACCAAGACTTCAGAGGGAACACATACGTCCTTAACAGGTGTGTTTTCCAGAAGCAATATTGGGTTTTTGCTGACTCTCAGGAGAGTTTGTCGAACAACCTCATCAAATCTGATCTTTGCATCATCAGAGTAGATCTTTTGAAGATTAGAAGCTACAGAATCAAATCTGGATTTGAATCTCTTCCAGATAGCCTCAGAATCTTCAGAATTCAGACTGGACATACATTCCTTCTTAACAGTTGATAACCACATGTTCAATTCTTTTTCAAAAATAGAAAATAAAGTATTAACATCTAGCCTAGGTTTAGGTTTCAGATAGTTTTCTAGTGCAGGTGTTTTGGTGGTTTCAGAAGTGGAGGGGATGGAAAAAGACGAAATAAAGATAACAGGTGGGTATGCAGAAGGAGTATGGACAAATGAAGGTTTAGCAATCTGAGGTTCAGATGGTAAAGATTCATTATCAAGGTCAGA